TATTAATATTTCAATTTGAACGTAATTTATTTTCGATATTCTACAATTTAAATTCAATTTTTATCTATTAACCTCAATTTTATATTTTGAATAAATTTTGAAAGTAAATCAAGTCAAGTTGGCACTGTATTTTCTTAAAAATTTCTTAAAAATGTTTCAACAATAGGCTTTTTCAATAGTTCTTGAGAATTTCTATAGTTCCCGGTCTCGTTCTAAGGGTTGCTTTAGGAACCAGCGGTTAGTAGTGGAGAACCTCTGCCCGTCGTGCTAAGCGTCGTGCTCACGTTTAGCTCGGCAACGACGGGATATGCTTTGTCGACGGAGGCGGTGATCACAAAATCCTACTACCAGACTCGTCGCTACGATTCAGCGCCATGATTTTGGTATCGCCTAAAATCGTAAAGTTGTGAATCTCTCTACTGATATCTGATCTGTATACCTAAATTTATTGGATGCACTGAATGCTTACGCTCGATTCCTTCGACACGGTTCATTGTTGAAACTAGATTAAACTACACGATTAGCCAGCCAGACAATTGCAGTTTTTAAAATAAAATTTATATATTAATCCGTGTCGGATGAATTGAGCATTAGTCGCCCACCTACTCCAGGAATTATCAATGATTTTAGAGAGAAAAAGATACAACTCCAAGCGGAAGTGAAAAGAAGGAAATTCGAAAACACAAGAGAAGCAAAGCAGCAATGATTGTTTGTGAAAGTAGAATAGAGGGAAACTATGAAAATAAAGAGTAACAATGAGAATAGTCAGGAGCAATTTCTATTTTTAAATGTCTCCACCAGACTAAGAAAGCAAGAAAGAAAGAAAGGGAACGACCTCCTTGGTAGATGCATTTCCGCTGTTCAGTAAGATGCCAGCAGTAAAAAGTCGATGACCAATCTCAACGTTATATTCTCTGCCTACTAAAAGACCTTCGAACAATTCGGTATAATCGTTGGTCGATTACTGTAAACAGATATAAATATTCTCTAACTTAAAAATTCTTTCCAGTAATCAGACTTATCTTGCACCGCTCTTGACGAGTATTAAAATCTTCCAATGGTGGGGATGCTGCACGAAGTTTTGTTAGTGTAGCAGAAGAAGGAAATCCCCTCCGTGTCGATGAGGAGCCACTCCGAGCGACTCGACACGAATACACGGATGGAGTGGAGTTCGAAGTGACGAGCCATTCCACTTTGAAATACCCTCTCATTCGCTGTCCTGCCGTCTCCAGGTTGCCAACACTGCACTTGCGCCAGTGTCATCTATTAGCTGCACATTGAACTTCCATCCGCAGACGGGCGAGCACGTATTCCCTGTAAGGATTGAGATCCTCTAGAACTCGGTTGGTTTTCGCCGTTCAACAATACGAAAGGAAAATTCGCCGATATCAGGCCGACTGATTGTCAAGAAAAAAGGAAGAAGAAATCATGAGGGAAATCGTGCATCTGCAAGCTGGCCAATGCGGTAACCAGATTGGCGCAAAGGTAAGTCTAATATTTTTATATATTTTTCTTGAACGATTATAACCATCTTACGGATTTTTTTACAATTAAATAAGTACTAAAGGAAGGACAAGGGCGACTAGTTTAATCGTACAATGCACTCTTTGACAGAGGACGTATATGTAATGTATGAATATATAGATGGCTTGAATAAGGTTATGAATTTTATGGAAAATTTGTATAATTAAGTGAAGGAGTAGAGACTGTACTATTTATTTTTTAATCCAATACCCAAGTACCTTAAAGGACGGCTGTTTATAAATAGATGTCAGTCTTCGTTCCTTTTCCAGTACAGCTTAGGGATTTTCTTTCTCTTTTTGGGTTACTGCAACTGCAGCTGTTTCCAGCCTGTGACTTTGTCTCTGATAAATGTGTTCGGTAAATCCTTGTGGATCTTTTTGACTTGAACTTTTTGGTATATCAATGCCAGCACTGTCTATATTTTTACCTTTGATTTTATTGAGACATTTTTTTTCTTTTCTCCACTTGGCCCATGGCTTTAAGGCATACTCCGGTTTACTCTTAATGTTTTTAATTACTTGAATATGCTAGATAGGTCACTCTATGCACGGTGACTCCTTTATTCTGGATACTCGTGGACAAAAAGTCGCCTTCAACGATTCGGTTCGCTTGGCAACTGCCCATTGAATCTTGCATGAATCTTATATGCATATATATTATAGGTGTATATACACTGTGTACTAACAGTTTAGAATCACTTGATCGATTTTACCATGACAAATTGAATCACTGAATTTGATATTGATACTCTTGTCTGTGAATAAGTAAAATATAATATACAATACAAATATCGAATTGCATCTTATCAAATTCTTATATTTCGCGTGCTAATGGCTTTAATCGTTCCTGGTAATTTTGACAGGGTCAATTATGAATCATTTACATGGAATTATATTTTTATTGGTACTGCAGAAAGTTGAGTCACTCTGCCTGAGCCTCTTATCAATTAGAAGAAAAGTCAGACAACGAAAACTTGATAAAACTCCAAACAAAGGGTCTTCGTTATCTTCTACTTGTTTCCGAAAAAGTGGTCCATTAGGGGAATGAAAATATCTCGTCCTCGAAAGGGTATGCAAAGAATTTTCCTTTTAGCGACCCTATGACGGTAAATGCGCAATGGTGTTAACGAACGTAATGAGAAAATATCCGTGTGACTCAGTCTCACTGTACAAATTATATATATTATAGTATATACACGGCTATTACATACTAGACTGCCGATGTGAAGTCGCCTTGAGGATTCAAGTTGAGAAATGAAAATAATTGCGGCGAATTGACCGCTCGTGCCACAATTGCTCAGTGGCATTCAGGACGAAGAATAAAAAAGTTCAAAGGTAAAGTTTTTTGAGCGTGACTGTAATTAAAATTCAAAGTCAAAAGTACCAGTAAAAAATGTCTGTACATAATTTTTTTGAATTTTAAAACTAGATCAATACTAGTATATTACTATATACATGTAAATAATATATCCCATGATTTCTGATCTCAAAAATTCTTCAATTGATTCCATACCAATACGCTCATAATGATTACCCGGTATAATTTCTCTATAAGAAACGAGTGGTAAACTTTCTCATGTAAATTTTAAGTAATTCACATCAATATCGAATTACGTCTGATATCTCGTTTTTTTTTCTCTCTCTCGTTCCCTTTTAGAAACACGGCTTCCTTGTACACTGAATTTACTTCACCAATTCTAGTCAAAGGATGTCCAGGATGCCGAGAAGGAGGTTTGGTATCAGTGAGACTTACCGTTACGCCAGCTAATTGAATTTCCGCACGACGGACTTCACCAAGTCCGCACGGGAATACTTGTGCCGCAGTGCGGAAATATTTTGTGGTAGACTTTTTTTTTCCTCTTGGAATTTCCTTAGGCACTATAGAGACACGGCAGTTACCCGGCTTCCATCTGCAAATATAACAGAAGCATGTAATATTCAAATTTTGAATTTGGTACAGTACTCACAAAAATTCTTATTAAAATCCATAGTCTTTATCCCTTTTTTTTCCATTCTCCAAATTCCAGGGATCTGGACTGTGCAGACGATATATATACGTAGCTACTGTCAACGATAATCGGGATTCCAATAAGTTATTTTTATACCGGAGTCTCCTGCCCTCTTACACCCAAAGCATGAACCAAGAAAGGAATGCCTAGAATAACATTGTGCCTGAAAATTGAACAGACTTTATTTGGGACCAAATAAATGGATTTCCGAGTATCGGATAAATCCATAAGAAACCTATAGCGTTTTTTAACGTGAATGTTAGACTTTATAGAGATTGCTGTGAGAATTCGATTAATAAAATACACTCGGTACTGTTATATACCTATGTATATATATTTTACAATTCTGAATGCGTATCTATACCCCCTTGCAGATGCTTCTCCTATTAATAGAAACAGAGAAAATAGTGAAGACGGCGTAAGTGGGGAAGAGAAATGTAAAGAGACATCAGGCTGCATCAGGCTTGGGGGCATGGCCCGTGTTAATTTGGTTTCCCTCTATTTTCGTCTGGAGACATATTATACTATACCCTGTCTCGTGGTTTACAGGCCCTCACCATATATAGAGAAGTTTCTAGTAACTTTTGTGCCGCAATGAAGTTGACAGGAAAAAAGACAGGATGCAGGTTAAGGATAAAATATGTATTTAATAATGCGTAACATAGTTAATTATGTCAAGGGAAAATGGCGTCTGGTACTCTACATGTCATTAAATTGTTACCACCTAATGTTTGTTTACAGTTCTGGGAGGTGATATCCGAGGAGCATGGCATAGATCAGTCTGGAATTTATCACGGCGACAGCGACCTGCAGCTGGAACGAATTTCCGTTTACTACAACGAGGCTTCCGGTAGGATAATATTTTCCAGACTTTTGAACAAGCTAAGATTCTACGACAAGGCATCGATGTACTGAGAATTCGTTGAAGGGGATTCCGCGCGAAAATAGAAAGGCATTTTTGTAAAAGGAAATAAAATGGCGAGGAAGAGTAAAAAGATAATAAAGGAATAACCCAGCCAAGGAAGAATCGCAGACGGAAATAGATACTCCGTACTGTCACTATGAGATACGTCTTTGGCTAACCAAAGCTACTAGGTTATAACGGCGGTATATTCACAAAGCGCGAAAGTAAACTTCAGAACGACTGAGCAGTTGATTTGCAAACGATGCATGTAGAGGCCCCACCTTATACGCACTTCCGGTAGGTGGTTATTGAAATGAGTTTTTGGAAGGCAAACAATCATTCCTGATTCAGCCTGTACAGTTATATATGCCTAACGTGAACGCGATTAGCGATTGAGTCGCTACATAGAAATCCACCCTTTATCTACAATGCTCCCTGTCTAACGTTTCCTTTTCATTACCATAAACAGTGGCTACGTCTACGGATGGCGGCAAGTACGTACCCAGGGCCATCCTGCTGGATCTGGAGCCAGGAACGATGGACGCCGTACGATCTGGCGCATACGGCAAGCTCTTCCGACCTGACAATTTTGTCTTTGGTCAAAGCGGCGCCGGGAACAACTGGGCCAAAGGTCATTACACGGAAGGTGCTGAGCTAGTGGATTCGGTATTGGACGTGGTGCGGAAGGAATGTGAGAATTGCGACTGTCTTCAAGGATTCCAGCTGACCCATTCCCTGGGCGGGGGTACAGGATCAGGCATGGGGACTTTGCTTATATCTAAGATCCGTGAAGAGTATCCCGACAGGATCATGAACACTTATTCGGTGATGCCATCGCCGAAGGTATCGGATACCGTGGTGGAGCCTTACAACGCCACCCTGTCGGTTCATCAGCTGGTGGAGAATACAGACGAGACCTACTGCATCGACAACGAAGCCCTTTATGATATATGCTTCCGCACCCTTAAAGTGTCCAACCCTTCCTACGGGGACCTGAATCATCTGGTATCGTTGACCATGTCCGGTGTCACTACCTGTCTCAGGTTCCCAGGTCAGCTGAACGCCGACCTCAGGAAGCTAGCCGTGAACATGGTGCCCTTCCCACGTCTTCACTTCTTCATGCCTGGCTTTGCGCCACTGACGTCACGATCCATGCAGCAGTACTCTGCCTTGTCCGTACCGGAACTCACGCAACAGATGTTCGACGCTAAGAATATGATGGCCGCCTGCGATCCACGTCACGGAAGGTACCTTACAGTCGCCGCAGTCTTCAGAGGCCGGATGTCTATGAAAGAGGTTGATGAACAAATGCTCAGCGTGCAGAATAAGAACAGTCCTTACTTCGTCGAGTGGATACCCAACAACGTGAAGACTGCAGTGTGCGACATTCCACCCAAAGGTCTGAGGATGTCCTCCACGTTCATTGGAAATACGACGGCCATCCAGGAACTGTTCAAGAGAATTTCTGAGCAGTTCACTGCCATGTTCAGGAGGAAGGCTTTCCTCCATTGGTACACTGGCGAGGGTATGGACGAGATGGAGTTCACTGAAGCTGAATCCAACATGAACGATCTGGTCTCCGAGTACCAGCAGTACCAGGAAGCAACAGCCGAAGAGGACTTTGAGGTTGAGGAATGTGGCGATGACTTTGAAACCTGCGAGCAAGAATGAAGAGCATTGACTGTTGATATATTTATGATGGATTTAACTTAGTCATATTTATAAGGTCTCATAAGCGTTTCATACTTTTCTAGCTTTTATACTCGAGTATAGATAGATAGAAGACTGAACGAATATAAAAGAATTTGTCAAGCTGCTTTCTTTGGGATTGGGGTGGCAGGATCCTACGACGTGAGTACTAGGTCATTCGAGGACTCGCGAGAGCACCAAAGGCTCTTACCAAAAATCTATTTTTTTTTTTTTTTTCAGAAGAATATATCATTGTATATCATACTGTATTATTCATGTTCTTTTTATGTTTCATATTATCTCTTATATTAATATAATTCGATCCTTATTCTTCCTCTTCTGCTTCTTCCTCATCATCCTCATCCCCCATGACATCTTCATCAGGCTCAGCTTCCTGATATTGTTGATACTCAGACACAAGGTCATACATGTTATTCAGAGCTTCACTGAATTCACTTTCCTCCATTCCTTCCCCAGTGTACCAGTGCAGATAAGCTTTCCTCTTGAACATGGCGGTGAACTGTTCTGACATCCTTTTAAATAATTCCTGAATGGCCGTTGTGTTTGATATCGACGTAGCACTCATCTTAACCCCTCTAGGTGGTATATCACATATTGCTGTTTTTATACTGTTGGGTATCCACTCCACAAAATAAGAACTATTCTTGTTCTGAATATTCAACATCTGCTCGTCCACTTCCTGCGATGGTAAATCACATGAAGATTACAAGGGGGAAAATATCCAATACTTATTTCAATAATAAAATCTATTGATTGGCCGTATACCTTAGTGGACATAAGTCCACGGAATATCGCAGCAACAGTCAGGAATCTACCTTTCCTGGGATCGCAGGCAGCAAACATACTTTTAGCATCGAACATCTGCTGGGTAAGTTGTGGTACCGTGGTGGCCCTGTAGGGCGCCGAACTCCTGGAGGTCAGAGGAACGTATCCAGGCACGAAGAAGTGCAGTCTGGGATAAGGTACCATGTTCACCAGGAGTTTGCGTAGGTCGGCATTGAGCTGACCAGGAAACCTGAGGCAGGTGGTGATACCAGCCATGCAGGCTGATATTAGATGATTCATGTCGCCGTAAGACGGCAAGGCCAACTTCAGAGTGCGATAACAAATATCGTGCAGAGCCTCGTTATCGATACAAAATGTCTCATCGGTACCCTCTATCAGTAGATGAACCGATAGTGTAGCGTTGTAAGGCTCGACTACGGCGTCAGACATTTTTGGCGAAGGAATGACGGAGTAGCTTTTCAAAATTCTGTCAGGATATTCTTCGCGTATTTTTTTTATCAAAAGCGTTCCCATTCCTGAGCCGGTACCGCCGCCAATGGAATGTAGAACTTGAAATCCTGAATTATCGTATGGTATAAGTTGAGATTTTTTTATAGGATTTTTTATCGACATCTTTTTTTTTACTCACCTTGTATCAAGTCGCAGGATTCTGCCTCGCGACGTATCACGTCCAATGTTGAGTCTATTAATTCGGCACCTTCCGTGTAGTGGCCCTTGGCCCAGTTGTTGGATGCTCCTGCTTGACCCGATATGAAGTTGTCAGGTTTGAAAAGGCGGCCATAGTGTCCGGATCGGGCGGAGTTTAGACTACCCGAGTCTAGGTCCACGAGGATGGCTCTTGGGACGTATCTGTGACCTTGAATGAGATGAATTGAAAATTGAAATTTTTTGTTTCAGTACGTAATAAAAATCTGTACCTGCACCCTCGACGAAGAAGACATTTATCCTTTGAAGTTGTAAATCGGATTCTCCTCTAAAGACTCCATTTGGATCTATACCATGCTCGTCTGCGATAACTTCCCAGAACTGTGAAAAATTATGGAAAATTTAACTTTTCGTACGATATATGTATAACGTGTCATTTACTTTAGTTCCAACATTGTTTCCACACTGTCCAACTTGCACGTGTACGATTTCTCTCATGATCAATGAAAATCCGAAAATTTGGATAATGAAATTCTTAAACTTCTTAATTTTAGAGCCGAAAATATTGTAATTTTGATTTACATGGGTTACGACGAATGACGTTTTTTTTTTTATTCGTTTGGAACAAATGCCTGTAATTATCATTTTGCAAAAATATGAAAAAAAAAGTCATAAGGCAAACAAGGGAGTCTGTTGAATTGCCATGTATCCTATACAGGGTTATCGTAATGAATGACCAATCGAAAAATAAATTTATCAAAAACTGACGGTTCCTTGTATTATATTTTTCCGTAACGGTACAAATACTCAAAATCTAGCCTCTATAAATATAAATCGTATGTATATATATATACACAGGCATAAAAATAGAATAGTAAGAAAGCATAAGAAATAAATATAAACGTATAAGAATTTCGTGTAAAAGTATAGATCACTCTGAAAGTCGTCGATCAAAAACGATTGCATCCTAGCGCGATGGTACAGATATTCGTTTTGAGTTTCTACTTCTCCTCGCCCTCCTCCTCCTCGTCATACTCCCCATCTTCTTCAACAGTAGCCTCTTGATATTGCTGATACTCCGACACCAGATCGTTCATATTAGATTCAGCCTCGGTGAATTCCAGTTCCTCCATTCCTTCGCCGGTGTACCAATGAAGAAAGGCCTTCCTCCTAAACATGGCTGTGAACTGTTCAGAAATTCTCTTGAACAGTTCTTGAATGGCCGTAGAGTTGCCAATGAAGGTGGCAGACATTTTGAGTCCACGCGGTGGAATGTCGCACACGGCCGTCTTGACATTGTTAGGAATCCATTCAACAAAATAAGAACTGTTCTTATTCTGAATATTGAGCATCTGTTCGTCAACCTCCTTCATGGACATCCTGCCCCTGAAGACAGCAGCCACCGTGAGGTACCTTCCGTGACGTGGATCACAGGCAGCCATCATGTTCTTGGCGTCAAACATCTGCTGGGTCAGTTCCGGTACAGTGAGGGCCCTGTACTGTTGACTGCCGCGAGATGTCAGTGGTGCGAATCCTGGCATGAAGAAGTGTAAACGTGGAAATGGTACCATGTTCACGGCCAGCTTCCTGAGGTCAGCATTGAGCTGGCCTGGGAACCTAAGGCAGGTTGTGACCCCGGACATGGTTGCTGATACCAGATGGTTCAGGTCGCCGTACGTCGGTGTGGTCAGTTTCAATGTACGGAAACATATATCGTAGAGAGCTTCGTTATCGATGCAGTAAGCCTGATCGCAATTTTCAACCAGCTGGTGAACTGACAAGGTAGCATTGTAGGGTTCTACCACGGTGTCTGATACTTTGGGTGACGGTACCACTGAGAATGTTGTCATTATTCTGTCAGGATACTCTTCACGGATTTTTGATATGAGTAGAGTACCCATACCGGATCCAGTACCACCGCCCAATGAGTGGGTCAGTTGGAAACCTTGGAGACAGTCGCAGCTCTCGGCTTCCTTGCGCACCACGTCCAGCACCGAGTCTACCAGCTCAGCTCCCTCTGTGTAATGACCTTTGGCCCAGTTGTTCCCGGCGCCGCTTTGTCCGAAGACAAAATTGTCAGGTCGAAAGATCTGTCCAAATGGTCCTGATCGTACCGAGTCCATAGTGCCTGGTTCCAGGTCTACGAGGATCGCCCTGGGCACGTATTTCCCTCCGGTTGCTTCGTTGTAGTACACATTGATCCTCTCCAGTTGAAGGTCTGAGTCCCCGTGATAGGTGCCCGTTGGATCGATTCCATGCTCGTCCGATATTACTTCCCAAAACTGTATATAAAAAAAAAATGTATTTCTTCAACAAATTCATTCTTGTTATGTTCAACTGCGAGTTTGACTTAACAACTGACCTTTGCTCCTATCTGGTTACCACATTGGCCAGCCTGAATGTGTACAATTTCCCTCATTTTGTATGTTAAATAGTAATTGGTACCAGCTGTGTTTTAATTAGAGGACGAGCTGTACCACCGACCAAGATGACATCGACTGCTATCTTCTCTGTGCAAACAAAAACAGCCGACATCTATATTCTCCTTGACGACGAATATGACTTGGATTGCGCACAGTGACAAAATTTCAATCCACGATCTATTACCTAGATTATTTAACACTCTTCCGGTCGATCTTCAAGTTGAAAGTTGATTGGGCTTTGCTAGTTTTAGGAAGCTCAGATTTTAAGTATAAAAATTGTTGAGCTTAGTATCGTCCAGTTTCACTCGAGTTACCTTATTTCGAAAAGTGAATCGAGTCGAAGAACACTCTAAACACTATACAGATCGCCAGGATCGTCCCGATGCATATTTATGTATATAATATAATATCGGGCGCGAGAAAAATACGTACTCGAGGCAGGCTTTACAAAGGAAGTACATTATAATAAATGGAAAAAAAAAATAAATACAATGCGTGCCTATACTGATAATATAATACAAAGTCGTTAGTGGTTATCAAATAAAACAGGCTCGCGTCAAAGTCTGATAGCACCGAAAGACTCCTAGATCTTGTCCTCGTCGACCTCGTCCCCTACCGGGGTGTTTAAGTCCTCCGCTTTGTCCTGGCTGGTCAGCAGAGGACACGTCCTCGAGGTTTCATCCACTTGGGCAGTTTCCGGTACGACAATTTTCGAGGATGCTGAATGCCTGTCGGGTCGACCGTTGACAAAGTACCTCAAGGGTAGAACGTCTGACTTGTGTTCTTTAGACGAGTTCCTATAAAAGCATCTACGAGTATAACAAGACTCATCCCCAGCCGACGATAGAAATCCTGGAAAGGACTACCTGGGGAGTGTAGGGCAGGACCAGAGTTTAAAATCAGCCCCGAAGAGCTCGCCCTCCTCGATGGTCTGCGGTAAATGTATATTCAAAGTTTCCGGCAGGAAGATGCTGGTCAGGGCGCCAGCCACGCTCAGAGATCCCATGATGATCAGTGGCAAGACTCTTGAATATACAGCCAGGTGAACGATATAAGGGAATGTGAGCAGTCCAATGCCGGCAATGAAGGATGCGATTCCCATCGCCTGGGATCTCAGAACAGTTGGCAATAATTCCCCGACGAAGACGTAGAAGACAGCGAAGGACGCGGCTATACCGAACTTCCCTACCATGGCCAAGGACACTGTTACCCATACGGCATCTGAAAAAGGATGAAGAATTCCTATGAATCGTATCCTGACCTCCTTCCTCCCATGGATAACGTCATGGGGGTACCTTCTGGCACGAACATGCAGGACACGCAGGCAAAGCCACCAAGGAGCATCGTGATGCAGAGTACCCATCTTCTTCCTATTCTATCCATGGCGTACCAGGTTATTACGTAAGATGGTATCTCGACAATGCCTCCTGTCAAATGAATATACAGATAAATAATTGATAAGAAAAATCTACAATAGCACGAACGTGTCTCAGCAAAGTCACACTTGTCCTCGCATATTAATTACATATTAACGTTAACTCATACAGCGATTCCACAAGGATTCGTACCAATGAAAAATGCCAGGTAATCGGACACTCCTAGATTTGTCGTGTTGTAGGATAGTCCATTGTAAACAACGGCATTGGCCACCCAATCGAAAGCTAGAATAAAGAATTTCTTTCTTATATTGGGATTCGTTATGAGGTCCATTGGTGTTGCCGACGGAGGTGGTGGTCTGTTCTCGACGTCCAGGTCGACCGAAACGTCCCCAGAATTTTTCCCATTGCACGACACACCTTGCCTCTTCAATATATCCATCTGCAAGTATAACAATTACCAGAAGACGATCTTCAACATTGACGTAATAAATTCTGGTGTACGAACCTCCATCTTCCGTAAAAAATTCGTTGGCACTCTACGGCCATTGACCTTTGCCATATGCTGAACTATGACCTCTGCCTCGTCTATTCTGTTCTTGCTGAGAAGCCATCGTGGCGATTCTGGTATTATCCAATAGTAGCTGAAGAGTAACACAAAAGGTACGGAAGTAGCCAAAGATAAAGTGTACCAATGTCTGAGCAAGTAACCCTGTAAATAATTATTGCGACAATAACAATATAATGAATAACATTAAACAATGATACCAACATACTCACCAATAAAGCCAGCAAGGACATAGCTGTGGCAAAGAACATAGAGATGACCATACCAGCAAATGTCCTGTACCTGGGCCCCATGAGTTCAAGAGCTGAAAATAAATGAATAAAACGTCAATGAACGCTTTAACAGTAAAAAAAGTTTTTTAATAATTCATATAACTTTCTCACCGAGAATAAAAGGTATTTGATAAATGGCAGGGAAGAAGAGGCCATTGACGGTCCTAAGAGCCGTGTAAATAACATAATTCGGGCTGAAGCTCGTGACGATGGAGAGAATAACCTCCAAATAAAGAATGGCAAAGAAGGCAGTCCTCCTGCCCCATTTATCAGCAATCCAGCCAAAGACAACGTTCCCAAAGAGGCTGCCAACGTAGAAGAAAGTCGTGGAGGTCGAGGGCCACCAGCTGTTGTCGCAAACGAGGTCTAGCTATGTGAATACAAAGAAGCCATTGAATCCCACTATAATATCTCTTGTAACAAACGGGCGACACATATTACAAGATAGAAAAAAAAACATATCCAATTAATGTATCCTCATATTCGATAGCAACAATTACTTTCCTATCGTGAAAAAGAAGTCAAAAAAAATCACTGCAACAATTCCATAAATAAGTATTAATAACAACAGAAGTCATTGCTCCAATTTGCCCTTATCAGTCTCACTCGCTCATACATACAAAACAATAATCATTAACCAACGTTCCATACGTCAAAAATAATCGAACGTCAATTAAAGTATCTCAGTGATTACAACGTGAGGTATTAAATACACATATTTCGATCGAACATGGCCGAGCTGCTCTGTACATAATAAATCAAAGCAGGAACCATAAGATTAGTTAGAACTACGTATGCAGAGTGTGCGTATGCATACGGCGTGTATATAACGATGCGTAGGTCTGCATGTAATCAACCGAACAGTACACAAGGATTTCTGATGACGTATATATAACACAGCTATACGGTATATCGTATACATATGTAACATAGAGTTAAGTTCGCTCGTAGGTTCATAGCTTTGCCGGTTTGTTTCAATATGGCGAGTTTGCACGCGGTCCGATACATCGAGGCGTCATTAGGCACGTTTAGGTGGGACGTACGTGCTGGCATATTAGTAAATGGGATGTGTGCGCTCTTGAATCGTACAGCGTGAAAGTGTATGTGGCTCCCACAGAGAGAGGTGTCCATCACCCTCGGTTGACAGGAGGAGCGTGACCCCCTCCCCCTCTCTCTGCCTCACCTTCTGACCCCTTGACCTGACCCTTCACTCCTCCCAACGTCCTTCTGCCTGTTTAGCCGCAAGCTCTTTCGCAACGTCCAACCGTGGCTCTTATTCAGATTTTTATTTCCTTTTTTTGAGATCATCATTTCTTTCCATTCTTCAGGGTAGGGTCAAAGGTTGCAATCACGTAGGAACCTTGCTGGATGACTGATTCGATCCCGTTGAGATGAGTCTGTTGTCAATGGAGGAGAATGTGATTTAACATGAGATTCTTAATAGTTGATAAGAATGATAAAATTTTGAAAATTCCAACCTTATGGCTAGTCCTTGTTCGAGTAATGGTGAGTTTGATTAATGATCTTCGTGAATGTAGATGAACGGTGAGTCGTGCCTGATAACACGTATCGTGCATGACGTTCGTATATGTATATACATATGTGGATAATGGTTGTACGTAGCAAATGCTAATGTGACAGACGTACTAGGATTACTTCCAGTGGAATACGTCGAGCGTCATCACTCATCACTACCTTCTGGTAGTTGTTTCGCTGAGTACTAGTAGCGAGTGGGCAACCGCTCTTGCTTCCGGTCACAGTGATTTATTGGTTAGCCGCCTTTTGGGTGGTGTGCACGCATGCGGTCTCTCTTTGTCTTGCTGGATCTCTACTACGTCGGATGAGCGTACATACGAGGCGATTGTCTTGTAAGGTTACGTTGGTATCACTGAAATGAAATAATGTTACGAGAGCAATTTTGGACATTGTTGAGATTTATTAGAAAATTTTTATATTTACTGGATGCACGGTAAACGTCAACGCGCGAATCAAACGCCATTGCTGGGGTTCGTTTGCTGCGGTAAACAGTTTTATGACGAGAGGTCTGGCTCACTTCTTCCGTTCGGCCCCGGCCAATCGACCGAGCGACCTACCGGTCAATCACAATTTAGGAAACGTCCGCTTCCGCTTTTCTTGCGCGTTCCTTTCAACTTTTTAGCAGCCGTACGAGAAGGTTTCTTTTTGTCAGTTTGCTTTCCGGATGTAATAACGGAAGTACTACTGGATTCAATGTGAACGAAGGTAATGGAATATTATTTATATCCATAGCATCTTTTTCACGGTGATATTCTTCGGGACACTTTCTAACCTCAAAAATGTCTTGGGGTTCATTTAGGAAGACACTCTTGAAAAATTACTTGTAGGTTATGTATACCCTGGTTATAGGTGGGTTCAGGCTTGCACGAGCGTTTCATGTGACGTATCGCATGACCGGATGCGGGGGTAGGTAAATTGGTCGGCAATTGCTGACGCCACCAGAGCTGCAACCGATCGGCCAGTCACTCGGATGCTTCTCTACCCTATACCTGGAGAAACATCCTCTGAAGTCACTAATCACTACCCCTTGTAAAACTCGGATCTTCTCTTGTGTAACACCGATCCTCGTATACATGGAAACGATGCACGTGGAACGTTGCTGGCCATTGTGTTTTCTACTTTTGAATACTATATAGGTCAATGAGAGGGGGAAGCTTTTTAAGCTCATTTATAATTTCCATGAAACTCCCGAACGACTTAATAATCGGGCTTCCACGAATAAAATATTCAAATCCACCAGTATGAGCTAGTGGAAGATCAAGATAAAGTGTCTCATAAAATCGGACTCCAGAAAGAAATGAGCAATTAAGAAGCTTCTGGACCTCTTATCACTGAGGGGAAAACGACGGAGAGGTATGCTGTTCTTCAGCAGGATGCCGACATTTTTACAGACAATTTTTTCGTTGAAAATAATTGCGATGTCCTACAAAATTTTCGTGTGTACATTTAGAGACTCAGTTTTTACAAGATAAATTTAGTTTCAATTTTTTATGTTATCTTAAGAATTACATTTAAATATTTCATCTGAAAAAATAATTCGCAGGCACGTTTCATCGTCGAGACAAATACAGACTGTTTCTACATTTAATTCGTAATATAATAAATTAATCGTGCAGACGAATGACTTGTTTTTTTCTTTCTATTGGATCATCCCAACAATGCCATTAATTGTTTATTAGTTTATCGTGTACCTGGTTACATTTCCACATTCGTTAGAGTCCTATAAACAGCGTTCCTGAATATTCATGCGCATCTTCACGTAGACAAGAGAGTAACTTTGGCATTTAATATTTCATAAACATCGTAGATGATTTACTTGAAATATGTAGACAGACGTGCTGAGCATCAATAATTCAATGGTAGACGTTTCGAACGAACGGCTAGATTTTCAATAACGTTCCAAGATTCCTTGAACTGGCTCGAAGGATTATGCAAATGAGAGATGTCGTAGACACAACACTGCCACTATTTCTCTCTCACTCTATTTCTCGCTCACGAAAAAGCTACTTATACAATAATAAGAAAGCAACCGAGATAGTTTTAGATTTCTTCTGGGAATTAGTAAAAAGAGAAGAGTTTACCTCGGTGACGAGGGTGCTGTCATAATCCCGTCTATCGTAATTCCAACCATAACGACATTTGCTGATCGGCCAAGTTTGACTGCTCTCCGGCGGTGGCGTTAACCTGGTTACCAACTGCGACGTGTTCGTTGTATCGTTCAACAACCAGGACTCGATAACGGCTGTGTAGTTCACGTCGTACATGTAACATCGTGAATACTGTCTCCTGCCGTCAGACTTGACAGTGTACGGCAGACTGAGAGCCTTGCGTTCCTCAAGACTCAATAGACTTGTTAAATTGTCTAATTCTGGTATCCTGCACCAGTGTTCCGGTGACGCGCTTACGAATACCTAAAATAATAAGTGATTAATTAATTAAATGATTAATAACATAAATTTGACTCGACAAAAATAACACTGGCGAAGTGACGTTACTCTGTCAGCGTGTAGAATATTAACATGAATTTGACTCACTTGTGAAAATGCTAAAAAGGCGGCGGGTAAGGTTGCTGGTATACAAAGGAGGTAGTACATGATATTTTGATATCGACCTTTCTCTCCCACGTGTACCAACACTTCATCAAAGTCTATGGAGCTCATCTTTTCGCCGTGAGGAACCCGCACGAGTCTCTCACGCGAATCGTCGGATTGACGATCAGGTTTGAGGATACGCGACGAGCCGTGTCAAATTTTGGCTCACTCGGCATCTCCTCCACTCATCTTTATTAACTTTATTTATTAGTAATCAATATATCTTCTTGTTATTAATTGATATATATATATACGGTGTATATATACATATATATATCTGGATATAGAGAATTAGTCGTTTTTACAATTTCTCACTGTTTAACTTCAACACTATAACGTCGCACCAGCACTGCTCGTACAACGCGATTCAATTCACTCCGAGGGAGCGAATCGGCTCGAGGTCGAAGATCGATCTGTTAGAGTGAATACTTTGATGACACTTTAATGTAACACGTTTCCATTAGCATCTTTCATCACGTTTTTTTAATTCCATTTCTAGCTCCAGCACTTTGTTAGTTCACTTAACGAGAACAGCAGCTCGGGATTCGTAAGAATTTTATCGATCTGTTTCACTTTTAAATTTTCCTCGTGTTATCGATTGTTGCACTTCGATTAACAATTTGTATTTTCGTATAGGCTATTACAGACACTTTTTTTTCACAAGTTCCAAACAGGGCACGACAATGCTATACGGGCCTCACATGTTTCCCGGTCTCTTCACTCTGCTCTCGTCCGTTCACTTCACCTCAACCGTTTTCTGCGAAGATTTCCCGACGTCCAACTTCCTCTAGCATCTTCGGCTTCTCCTCGTCACACCGGATGATACCAGACTCCTCTGAAAACAGTATGACATTTCTTTCGTATTTAGTCAAAAGATCCTAGACGCTCTCTCTTCTTTTTGAATTTTACCCTTTTTTTTCCCGCCTAAAAATCACTCTCTCGTACAGTGGCTAAATTGTTGGACTTGGCCAGACGAATTTCAAAGATCAATTTTCTATTTCGTTATTTATTCCTTTTAATGGGCTGTTGTCAAGCTCTAAAGTGGCTGCGCTCGTAAAGTTACTTTTGTTCGAGGAGGGACGGAAGTACCTCGTGCTCGGGCACGAGACGTTTACATACTGTTCTAGTGTGTAGGAAGAACGGCTACCGGTCCGATTGATCTTGCGCGTGTGAGCAAACAATGCATCTCCTCATCTCCGTGGCCTCTCGCCTCTCAGTTATGGCTGCGTCTCGAGCACCGCGTGAGAAATTGTTGCGAAACTGTGAAACTAAGAAACTGAACGACTGGAGAGACGCGGACATGGTATGAAACTGGGAGATTGAAAGACTATAGACGCCTGGAGATACGCAGAAGCCAGTACAGTAAACGGGTACAAGCACATGTTTGGTATCTACCTAATAAAATCAGATCAGCTACGTAATGATTAAATTGGAGATAAGAAAAAAAGAATTAACCAGGGGTCCCGGAGGAGGTAATTTTAATAGATAATAGATAATTTTAATAGATCATTGATATTGATACCTTATAGATCCTGATACAAAATTTAACTTGGTGCTGAATTTAATGAGAAATTGGATGACCTCGTTCCAGGACACCCTGTGTAGATTTCATGTGGTCCTCGACCGCAGAGTAACCCTAGACTCCTGTCGTAAGTACGTACGTGTAGACGTACGCACGTCGTGTATCTACGTATGCCTCTTTTATTGTTCGTTACAATTACCAGTGACGTCACGAGTACAAACAATGTCATCCCGCTTCGCACGCCTTCGCCTTCGCCCTCGACACGCGACATTCGACATTCGCCACTTGCCCGTTTACTTGGATCGTATTCTGCGCTACGACATATCAGACTATTTTCTTGGCACTGATCCTCCGCGCAATTATTTTATGTGATTAATTTTTTTTCTTCAAATTAATGAAATAAAATAATATTCTACCTGGAGCATCTTACCGAGGACGTAGATGTGGCTGATGAAGATCACTTCTTGATTTACGGTCCAAGGGTCATACTCCTGCGTAAAGATCCTGAACGAGAGTTACATCAGGTTTGTGCTACCAACGTGAAGATGGTTTCAGTCGACGAGAACGGGCTGGAGAACCCTTGTGATGTGTACCGGAGGGAGCGAATAAAATGTGAACCGGGCAAACGGGCACTCGGAAGTTCAGATCCGCACGACGAATACTCTTGGACGAATAGCTGTGTTTAATATCACTGCACAATAGTTGGACGTTCGGTTAGGATCGCTATGGCCTTATGAGATTTTAGTTGAGCCATTTGGATACGAGGTGTAATGGGAGGATAATTATAAGTTCTTGGGACGTAAGGCTTCACGTAAAATTTAAAAAATTTTTTTACTCCCCAACACTGTAATTAATTTGTTTTTTTGACATTCTTCTTTTCTTATATGAGCCTTGAACTTTTTCTGATCTTAGTCAACTTTTTGGTCTCTTCTTTCTGCTCGGGCACTTTTTACCCTCTCGCGTTTTGCGGTTCTCTTCTTTTTCTCGTTCGGTCGCGCTCTTTCTCGCTCTCTCGCACACACACTTTCGCGCGCGCTATATATATATATATATCTCTCGTTCTCTCTAAATATATGTATATGTATCGAAATACTACGCTAGACGGAGTAAGTAGCCTCCATCGCGAAGTGAAACTGAAACAACGTGCAGGGGAACCGAAGTATCCCATCCCGTCCTCCTATCTATCATTTTGAGTCCCTCCTTCACTCTCTGGACTCCCCTTGTCCTTCTCCACAACGCCACCATCCTCTCTCCTCTCTTGGACACTCATCACCTCCACAGTCACTCAACTATTAATATAAAAGGGGTTCCTCGACACTCTGCAACGGTAATTGTACGCGCTTCAAGTTTGCCGATTTATTTTCACGTGGCCTGCCGTATCGTTAGGCTTTGAATGCTGGTGAATGTGTTGGTTATCATTCTACTTTGATATTTCTATTGTTGTGCTTTAGGCAACCTTTGAATATGGATGTTATCTTTCTTTTTTTTTCATGTAGAATTATTTATATTACACGATTGTTCTTATAATTTGTAAATTCATACTTTTGTGAAAATCCGCAAATATATGAACGACTGCTCATGATTTATTGTGGGAGTTACTTGTAATTGCGCAGCAGGGTCGAAATGGTGGTTTTCTTTAAGGAATATTTGTTATCGATCTTAAGAATGCGATGTCTTATGTTATATTTTCTTTTTATGGGAGGGATACTTTATTGGCTATTATAATAATGGTTTATTCTTAAGGGCACTTAGTTTTACGAGATTTTAAATTGTTACTTTACGATTGGCGATTCGCCATTACCATGGTAACGCCAAGATGGCCGTTTACGCACATGGCTGCTTGTTGTTATTCAAGAAGCAAAGCAAGATAGTTTTTCATATTTATTGGAGAAGTAACATGTGAGTTTAGTCTTTGTTATTGATATTACGGTGTATTTATTTAGTGGAAGACTATACGAAAAATGTGGGATTAATATTTGTATTGTTGAGGACGAAGTAAATGACGAATGAATATGTGTACGCAGTGAACGGAATGTAAGGATTCTGTTTGTTAAATTGACGTAATAAAGTCATTGGATTAGCAACACTATCTGGCATTCATTATAATAAAGTTTTAATTACATGCATAGATTAAGAGTACTTGAAGAGCTTTTGCTAGTGATTGCCATTACCCAATTATTTGCTGTGTACACAATTATAACGAATTCTGTTTGGATTATGTCAAGAGCCTTGCATAAATTGCTCTTTCAATGTCAAACTTCAAAGAAACCATCTCCAAGAATAACACTCACTCAAGTTCTCCAACACATTCCAAGCCAAGATATATCAAGAAACTGAACTTTAATGAAGACATATCAGATTCTGAGTATGACAATGAGAATAATGAAGAATCCAATGTTATTCCTAGACTGGGTTATACAAGTGTATCACATATAGAAAAGAAAGAATGGATTCAGCAATGGATTGAGGCACATAATTCCTCTACAGACATAAATAATGATCTGTGTCCAGCATCTCCAATTCTTCAAACCACTGTCCTTAGACGGAAGCAAAAGTCACCAATATTGAACAGTCATCGTAAATGTAAAAAACTTAAAGTTGTTTTGTCTGATATTACACATACGAAGATTGTAAATACTGAGTCTACTGATTATGATGAAACTCGACAGTGTGCAGAAGATTTTCATATAAAAGAATCTGAATTTGCACAAGAGAGCACTCCATTACGTTTGCAAATTCATCCTAGTGGCTCGCCCATCCTCAGTACAGGTTTCTATACTTTTAGGAGACGACAGAAGGCACGTAATAATTTGTTTAAGCAAAAAAAAATTGATACCCCTACTGTAGAAAGTTCCAAGCTTCCGGACACAAATATGAATACACTATTAGTGGAAAGCAAACCAGCTGAGTCAGGTTTGTCGAGATGTAAAGTAAGCAATATTAGTCTATTTGATAGACATAAAATTGTGGCACAGAAGATAGAGTCTCAGCCAGAAAAATCTGTACTAAAAAATGTTCAAAGTAGGTTGATAAACAAACCAACAAGCTTCATTGAAATGTCACCTAGTACAGATACTGAACGCATAGAATTTGAAGAGAGTGAAACAGTTAGTACAAATCATACAGTGCAAGAATCTGATACTCCAAGTGATAGTGACAAAACTATCAGTGATATAATAGAGGATCCTGAGACACAAGATATATTTTCTGAAGTGGAGTATAATAATATTCCAATGAATGAGATCACATTTCCACTTGACAAAAACTTTTCCATATGTCCATCAACAAGCTGTAAAGAAACAGAGCAAAATATTTCTATCGAACCAGAACCAGCGTCCTCAACAGTAACATCTCAAAAAATTTCTGGCACATCCACTAGCAATGGTGGTATCGGAACATCATCAGGTCATACGGAAATAACAATAAGCACGGAAGTAACTCCACCAAAAGTCAGCGATGAAACCATATCCGGACTGGCTTTGCTAAATTCTGGGAAGAAACGTAAAAAGCCAAGAAAGTAAGTTTCTGTAACTGGTTATACGAATTACCTGCTTTAACTTTTATGTTGTTTTTACAGAGGAAGTTTAGTGGAAAAACTACAGATGCTGATCAAGAGCCAAGTGTCATACGTGCGCATCTGGCGTCATCAAATGATTCAAATCCAAGAGAATGCAACTACTCAATACATATCGCTAACAGTTATTGATTATTTAACTCGATGCGATAGACAATTTATCACTGGTTTAGTAATCGACGATCCTAGTCAACTATTAAGCAATATCGCCAATCGAGGATCTGAACAAATCTCTAGATTATCATTACAGAAGAAGATAAGTAACTTTGTAACAGTAGTAATGAATCCTGAGATTGTTGGTAATGTTAACATTAAGAAGGGGACTGTATTGAAAATTTATTCACCTTGGGAAGTGATCGATTCGGATAAAATGGTGTTCAGCGTACTGTATTTTGAACTGAAATCTCATCTCGAGGATGTAGCAGGAGTTATTGCAACAGGGTCAAATCTAGAAAATCAGACTGAAAAAGTTCTGCAAAAATTCAATTGTCCGTGCATAATGGAAGAAAAAATGTCAGACTCTTGCCAAGATAAGTTTAAAAATGAAAAACCAAAAGTGATTTGGGAAATATTTAATTTTTAAAAAATTTGCTGTGCGATTATAAATAATAATGTATGTGATAATTAATTTTAAGACGTTGAATGCTGCGCGTTACCAAAATATTTACTGTATGTTAAAAGTTACTTATAAAAATGGTGATGCTTCTTGAAGATGTTTGATGACAGGTCAACATAAATTATCATTCTACTGTTTTTTTTTATGGAATAGTAGTAAAAAATCTATTTTAGCAGAAAAAGCGAAAGTTATTCAATAATAAATTCATCAAAACGAATTACTTGAGAATTTGCGCAATCCTAATATACTGTATTCTGTCTTCCAAACATCCTACAAGTACCCTTGGTCATACCAAAAAAAATAAATCATTCAGTAATTGTAGTAAACATAAAAATTAGAGTAAGACGTACATACAATACTTCTTTTTATAAGAAGCGATAATAGTGCAAACAGACATATATGATATCAAATGTAAAATGATATAAAGATTTGCAGTGAAACTGATATGAAACTTTTCACTATCAAAGAGATAAGCAGATAAATAAACAGTCTTAAAATAATCCTAAAAATACGAGTTTCAATTATTCTGCATAATAGTACTGTAAGTGCCTTTTTCTTAGTAATACGAATATTTATACATATATTAAAAATGTAAATGACTAAAGGATTCAATTGTCATTCGCAGATAATTATAATTTTGCAAATTTTATTTTTTTTTCGACAATTATAAATAATTGCGTTACACAAGGAGTGGAGTGAAATGTAAAGGTGGAGATAATAGTAGCAGCAATCTTATTGTTTGCATCATGTAAGGGGAAGTTAGAGCAGTTAGAGAATCGTACGCGATGATAATATTTAATTTGTTATCATTTAAAAGACAGTCGGTAAAGTAGAACAGCAGAACGTTGAAGGTATATGACACAGAGATGAGTAGGGAGATGCACACGATACGGTTTTAGGCGATACCAAAAACATGAATTTGGCGATCACCGCCTTCGTCGATAAACGAATCCCGTCGTAGCCGAGCCGACCGCGATCACGAACGTGTAGCTTGGAGAACAGAGACTCTCTGCAACTTACCGCTGGTTCTCAGATCAACAATTACAACGAGGCAGCTCATCGAATTAAGCATAAATACATATTTAAGCAATATCTGATGAGCGGCCTCGTTCTAAAGGTTGCTCTGAGAACCAGCGGTAAGTTGCGGAGAACCTCTGCCGGTCAGGCTACACGTTCGTGATCACGTTCAGCTCGGCTACGACGGGATATGCATTGTCGACGGAAGCAATGATCACATATTCCTACTCCCGGTCTCGCCGCAACGATTTAGCGCCATGTTTTTCGTATCGCCTGAAACCGTAGCGTTGTGTATCTTCCTACTCATCTCTGTATTTCAGATGTCTGCTGAAAAGTATACGTGATATAGGCTCATTATTATTGTGTTTTTGGCTATAGAAATTTTGACTTTTGCCGTAACAGTCAGAAAGAAGGTAAATCACCTTTGTATTGACATAATAGCGTCAGTTCTAATGAGTTAAGCAACGTTTCTTTAATCTTAAATAGTTAACAAGTATGCGAGTTAATTGTCAGTTATGTGTCATCATGTCAAGTCATGAACCGAGTTTATTAAAGTAGGTTTAAATTAATATTGTTTTTCAAGAATTCACTATGTCACATACCTTGCGTAATCAGACGTTCACAATAGACAGAAAAGATGCTGAGAAATAGTTTCAAGTTACTGACATGTTAATCTCTCAACTTTCAATACCTCTAAAGATTTAAGAACAGTTTATATATACCTAACATCATTTTTCAGAAGATAATGTCAATAGGTCAGGACAGACCAGAACTCTACGAGGAGGTAAAATTATACAAGAATGCCAGGGAACGTGAGAAGCACGACAATCAAGCAGACCTATACGCTGTTGTAAATACCCTACAACATTTGGAGAAAGCTTATATTCGTGACTGTGTGACTCCCAAGGAGTACACAGCAGCATGCAGCAAGTTACTAGTGCAATACAAAGCAGCCTTCAAACAAGTGCAGAGTGATCAATTTCCCACGATCGATGCCTTTGCCAGAGCATTTCGGTTGGATTGCCCAGCTGCACTAGAAAGAATTAAAGAAGACAGGCCGATCACTATCAAGGATGACAAGGGTAACACCTCCAAGTGTATCGCTGATATAGTTTCCCTGTTTATCACGTTAATGGACAAACTTCGCCTGGAGATAAAAGCCATGGACGAACTTCATCCAGATCTTCGAGACTTAATGGACACTATGAATCGTCTCAGTATACTACCCAGTGATTTCGATGGAAAGCAGAAAGTTGCCGAATGGCTTCAAACCCTAAACAACATGTCTGCATCTGATGAGTTATCAGAAACACAGGTCAGACAATTAATTTTTGATCTAGAGACGTCGTATAATGCTTTCAATAAGATACTTCATAATTCCTAAATTTTAACTTTGCTACGGCCATTTGAGCAACGCTCAATTCAATTTTGTCATTTGTCTTGTATTTTTCAACAAAAAGATAACTAAGATTTGACAGGTCAAAAAAATATCTAGGTATGTTTTCATCAATGAAAACTTAATTCGTTCTGACTTAAGGACAAAGATGGATAATTATATAAAAAATGTTCTGTGCATCCATAAAACAATACTGTAATGACATGCCGCTTTGCACAGAGTTAACTATTTTCTATGCGATTCCTTGTACACCATATATTATATATACATATATAATTTCAAGTATAGATTAATAAAGTTACTACTAGTTAAAATGAATGACATTGGGTGCACTTCCACTTTTTTTATGAATAGCGTTATTGGTCTCAAGTATTCATCCATTGTTTCCTCCTTATCGGCCGCCGGTTAGCAATATTCTGCTTATTCCTGCTGACGGTTCCTTGTGCTCATCTCACGAACTATAAGCGCATTTCTACAACGCATTTTTATTAAGAACCTTATCAAAGCGATCACCATGGTCTGTACTTACGTCGTAAAGTCTGATCTTATCGCGTTTACTTGGTAATAGAAAAAAAAATCAGGTCGCTCGTTAAATCTGAAGCCATCGTATATTTCACGTGGCAAGATTAACACAAGTAAAATAAATGGAAGCCTGATAAGTGAATATTTGCGTCCCTATAAAGAGTTCGCGTGAGAGATAACATGGAGGGTAGATAAATATAAGGTGAAATAACATAATACTTGTAATCGGAAATAATAAAGGTATAATGGCGGAGTTACGTATACGGCCATGTATCACTTTCGTAAAAAGTTAGTTGAATTTAATGACTTGTAAGAAACAACAATTTAAAATTTCATGACTTAATAATACAAAAAAAATTGTTTGTACAAGAAACGAGATCCTATCGGTAAGGAAACACGTAAAGTTCAAGCAGCGCTGGTCGCTTTTAAGAAAATAATCTTGACGAGGCCAGAGGACCGTCTCAAAAGAAACTTGAGTAAAATGGCAGTAATGACGAAAACACGAGTTTGGTAAAGTCGCTTCATTTCCTCTCCACGTGATCTCTGGTATCTTTTCTCTCTTACTCATTTTACCCTCAGCTAAACCAACCAGACTCCAACGTCCCATAGTCGGATTAACTTCGTGTTCCCCCTTCGGGAAGGTAGTTCGGGAGGCTTCGGGTGTTTCCGGCCCCTTGTAATCGCGAATTTCAAATAGCTTGTCTAATCAGACATTCAAAGGCGTCGAAATGCACGCCATTAATTTCGTGAAATTCTTTATGAATCTTGATGACAGTCCCTTTTTAAAAATGTTTTTCTTTTTTTTTCATAGAAGAAATCCTCGTAGGATATTATTTTTAGAAAGATTCTCACTCGTGCGCTTCACTCTTCTGCTTGGCGGGAAAAACTTTACGCTTCGTCTGTACAAAGAAAAAACAAAACAAAAGGACTATCATCTCGATAGCGACCTGTGGCATTGGAGGGATCCATGGGTTCTGCTGTTAAGAACCGTTTTCACTGTGGCGGAGATGTTTCTGGAATATTAAAAACACCCTCCACAGTAAAAAAGTGTAAAAGAGGGATATGAATCCAGGATGGTTCACCCTTCTGAAGTCGGCGTCATTAAGACTGTCGTTAGAATTATGAAAATTTACCCAAACAGTATTAACAGTTAAGACGTTGAATTCTCGCATTGCCAACTCAATGGGAAAGTTTCTGGCACTTCGTATTTCGTAATCTTGTAAATTCTCTTTTTTTTTTTTTAATATAAAGTATTTCATCTTACCGGTACGTATTAATACAGGCTTTACGTATTACGTATAACGAATGCACATAATTGTGGTAGACATTTGAATACAGTTATGAGAGTTTTCAAAGTTTTAGCCATCTAACGTAAATTAGCATAAAAATTAAGCCATGTTCAATTCTTTCAAGTAGAATAATTATTAAAAATTGCTTTTCTGTATGTATTCATGTGACCAGTGACGCGGATTTTGATTTTAAAACGAATTTCACGCCTTGGGAGTAACATAACCTATCAATATTTCTTAGCCTCTTGACAAAAGCATCACGTAAGTCTGTCGTCGTCTTCGTTGCGGAGGGTAAAATCTCATCGATGCGTTTTTTCTCTCTGCTTTGAAAAAATACCTCCCCTCAATATGCCAACCAACTCCCTTAATACTTGGCGCGAAATGTTTTTTAACTTCCAAGGGATGTGAAAGCGGTTGAGAAAAGAGGAGGGTATCTTGCGACTACGAAGAACCTCTGACGCACGAAAGAAGGGGATTCCCCTGAAATGAATGGCGATATCTCATTTTTATATTTCGCGCCGAGCCTGGTTCAATTTTAAAATATCTTAGGGCATATTTGCCACTGAAGCTTCTTTTCCCAAGTTAAACAGAGTCAAACGGAAAATGACGGAACACCCGTGTCCCTATCATCAAAGAGCACTCTTCGCTGAATAACTTTCAGGCAAAAATGTATTTATCCGAGCGATTAAGAAGATCAAAGCCTCTCGCTAAATTCCAAACTTACGTAACATAACCTTAAATCCCTCGCGCAATTACGTAACGTATTTAATATTTATATAGGGCATCAAATAAAATCATATACATGGAGATTTGGCTTGATCACATTATTTTATATTTCGTTTCGCCAAGTTTCAAGGTTATCTCAATATGGCGCACGATTTATCAGCATTTCCGTATACGTATAACAATTTACTTCCTCGTGTCGGCATTTCTGCATCTGCACTTCGTAATTTCAACTTTCTCGATTGTTTCCTCCTATACACGTATATTGATGAGGTCGCCACTAGTGGGAAAATACCAAGTGAACTATTGCCTCTGTATACGTCCAATGTCTCCACGTACATAACATGCCAGACTGCACGCGAAAATTATATATACGTAGACATTGTGTATTAACGTGTGGAATACGATGCGGAATCGATAAGGTATATATATATACTATACACAAGTGACATATTATCAGAACTTTAACACGTAGACTATATTTATACATATTATTGGTAATAATGAACGTTGGTAACAAAGAATATTTTTCATGAAAAAATTTTGACTTAAAAAATTGAAAGATACTCATTTTTTATATTTGCTACTGGTTATTCTAACCATGGTATATATCTGTTCGGATGATATCAAGTAAATCGGAAATTCCGTCGACGTAGCGACGAATCCCTCGACGAGACTTTTATTCCCGTAGGATCGTCGATTCTCTATTTCTCCCACACTTTAATTAAGAACGTTCCAGCGCGTTAGCGAGAAGTGCGGAAATACTCTTCGGGAGGAGAGAGAGAGAGAGAGAGAGACGGGTGTAAATGTGTGTGTAGGAGAGAGAAAGAGAGAAATACTTCACTTGATAAATTTTCAAAGCTTTCTCCTAGAACTTAGTCAGGTACCAGTGACGTTTTCTCACAAATGCAAATTCGCGGCTGATACCTCCTCTTGGTGGCGGCCCAAAAGGGTTAGTTTGTTTGCTTAGCTCGCTTTGATTTAGCTTAATTTAGCTTTTAGTCAATAGTTCCTCGTGACGTTATTGTTCCGCTTCCCTGGTGGCGTTACCCGGAAGCCTCCGCCGTTGGTAGCCATGTCGATAACGTTAGCGTGCGTCCGAGAACCCAACCCCTCATTTGCATAGTGGGCGAGGGATGTTTGGGGTAAACAAGAATGTATACCAGAGTAAAAAAAAAAAGGAACATATGAAACCACTTCAAAGGGACGCAACGATGAATTACTGTATCTATCAGAGGATATGGGGATTACGTGAATATGACGGTGGAACAAAGATGGCGTCTAGGGACTTTTTTTTTTCAATTTTTTCATCACGATTTTAATTAATTAAATATATATGTATTGTTAGGTCGTCGAGAGTCGATGCTGATATCTTTATGGTGTTTATTATTGTCGAACGTTTATGTTTAATTAGAGCACTGAAAATATTCTGGATCTATTTTGACATTTGCAATATTACCTAATTATCCTGTTTATCGTACCTCCCACTCGTGCTCGAATCGCTAACGAGGTTAATTCACATTTTCGAGCAATTATTCCTCGGCATCAAATTAATTCGGTTCGACCAACCGAAACGTACATTTCTGCCTGGAAAGAGAATGCGTGAACAAATATGAAGTTTTTTTCTTTGAAATCAGCAAACTTTCTTTTTTTTCATTTTTTTTAGATAGTCTAATTAAGTTGGAATTGGACGTTTCAAGATTAAGCACGGATTGGATTGGAATTGAATACATTAAAGTTCTTGGAAAAAATGAGATTCGGGGAGTTTCTCTCTTTTTCTTTTCCTCACCCTAAATGACGTCCTCACCAGCTGCGTTTTCAGCTTCTCTTTTCTCTTCTTACCCTTCGGTCCCTCGCTGTGTGTTGAATTAAACGAGATTCTCGTATCTGCATAATTAATTTCATGTTTTTGCCTCCATCTCCTTAAAATTACTCTTACGTTTGAATTTCAAGCGTTTCCCGCCCGTATCCGTGCCGTAAAATTTTCTCCAATTTCCCGTGACTCCTGAATTCCTAAATTTATTTAATTTTACACAGAAAAACTTTCGTCCTGCAACGTACGTCGTCGCGCAGAGCTCTGGGATGCTGTGGAGCAAGAGGAAGCTAGGCCTTGTAAATTTAACGAGGACCGCGCCAGCAGGTAATTAGTATTTTGTTACGAGTTAATACGCCAGTCGGGAAAACGGATTGTCGATTTTCCCGTTAGCGAGTGGCAAGCTTAACGGCCGGTTCGCTAGGAGCTTTTGTAATTAAGCTCGCACTCGCGTGGAAATTCCAATAATTTGTCTGGTAATATCGCCTCGATTATGCTTTACGCCGATTTCAATACACTCGGCAAGTTATGTCTCGTTAATGCCAATCCATTTGTATCCTCGTAGCACGTATCGTATATAGTATTTAATTTCTGATCAATTTTTTTATGCAAAAAAATAGTATAAAAACCTGCATCATGAGCCACATTCAAGCTTTTGGCAATGGCGTAAGGTCCTTCGATACGCGTCAAACTATAAACCTTACCGTATGTTTTTTTTCACCAGCTCCATCCGTTAGACGAAAGTAGAATGAACCCTCCGTGACCCTTTTTATCGTATCCCTTCTGCCGTTTCTGCTCGAATAACGGCGCACTGATCAGTATCCTGGCAAGCAAGAAACTCCTACGAGCCATCGTCAAGGAATTAAATACGCTCTGTTGTACACGGGACTGAGCCATTTTCGCGTGCACCTTTATTTTCCACTCGAATTGCACGTCACGTTCGACACTGACGCTGGAGGGGTTCAAAAAGAGAGAGAAATATACAGTAGGGAAAACCCCCCTGAAAAAAAAACTCTAGATAAAATGTCAATTATCCCTAGCACAGAATTCCTTCTATCACGTAGCTAGCCGCAGTCTGCGGATGGATATAGATGTAAAGATTGCAGGTTATGTCTGGAAAGATTCGCATGGAGTATCGAACGACGAAATAAAATGAGTGGTCGAGCGACGATGAGGTTTCCGTGGATGAGTTTCTGTGATATTTGCCGGGTCACTTCAATTTTTACTAGCTTCCTCGGTTCAAAGAGGAAAGGACAGAAAGGTAAATAAAAAAGGAAACGCATAGCAACGACGAAGCTACGTAAATTCCGTTCAAATATAACCGCGTATTCAGTCGCGTCCACACGCGCGCGTTCGAAGGAAATGTAATTCGGCGACACGGGGAAATAGACGTATTTTTACGAACGGCATTGAAAAAGAGACAGACAGAGAGTAAAGCGTACGAAATTTTAGTTAAGCTCGTTTCACATGTATTCCGCACGTGGATGCAGAAACTTCTGCTCCAAATTCTATGGCTGAGTCTCTATGTATGCCAGCCTGTCCGTGGCCATTTTGTTACTTAAAAAGTATATCGCATCGAAGCGACGTGAGACGGTTACGTGACGTAGTTGTCGTCGGGTTGCTACCTGGGTTGCCGTAGTACCTAGCTGTGGGCTTAAGAGAAAAAAAACTCTGTGGGGATGAGAGTCAAGAAACTCAGACGTGTGGAAACGCTGGGATTCGCTGGGGAATATTTTACTGCTACTAGAAAATATTCTTATCTACGTGTTTACAGTTCTGGTAATATCGAAGCCTGGACGATTGGCAACGACTATTTTCACGGACGACCTAACCAAGAAATGTGTCTAGGGATACGGTGTCTTGTTCTATGAAACCGGGATAGTGCTTATTGTTATGTAAGAAATCCTATGTTCTGTAGCCTTTTAAAAGTTCGTAACAATAATTATAATATAATATGACGAGTGTTTACTTAATGCTTGCTGTGGTTAATGGAAATACTCAAACTACGATGGGTTCAATCTATTTCAGTGAAATATACTTAACGCTTCGAAATCCAGTAATAATCGTAATCCGACTAGTGCAGTGCTGTGCAGTTCAGTGCAATGTAGTGCAATGGATGGCTGCACTGTAATAGATACCGTCCCCAAGTAATCCACGAGGCTTGTGGCTTCGTGATACCGGTTACTGAGTGGTTACTTTGCTAGTAAATCGAGCGTGCGTACGTGTCACGCCCTACGCCTGTCAAGCGTATTCGTCCACACGTAGGATCCAGTGATAAAGGTGAGTACACATAGTAATTAAAAGAAAGCATGCGTAAGTTGAAAGCACGTGTCTTACAAATTAAAAATAATAAATACATAACACCGATTGTACGTTGCTTATGGTTGGAAAGGTACGCGCAAATTTTTAAGGTTACGTAAGGCAATAATTTTAGAGTGGACAGTGCTTCGCCTACGATCAAAATCTGTACTGACCTGACAAATGTTCATCAATGTTTAGCTATCGTCTGGCTAACATTTCCCAGGAGCAAATCCCGGCTAGTCCCTAGGGAACCATTTGTCCAGGAATACTGTCTTTGGCCTGCCTACGGCCTTCGATACGATTGCTACGTTTAAGGATGACAAATCAGATAGGCCTTCTCTTGGGAAAATGGGAGGAATAGGCGGAAACGCGATTTACGAAAACGATCGCGTTAGCTTTAATTGCTGTTCGAATTCGGATCGTGTTTACTTTTGAATGATGCATGAGAATTAGTCTGTTTGAGACGTTCGTGACTGTTACTGGATAAAATTAGACCCGACTGTACTGTATAGAGTTTCGATCAAGTTTAAAATCCAATAAATCACCAATTCGATATCTGTCGTAACGAATATACAGAATATTGAAATTTGTTAATAGTTAGATACTTCATTAAGGAAGTTCGTAAATGGATCTAACAGACCGTTCACTAAGCGAATACCATTGTCACCATTTTAATTTTTCCGGGGATCATCCGTATTAAAATTTCCTTTATTTTTCCCAGTGCCAGGCAGTACTGATATAGTTACGACGTTTAATGTTTGATCTTCCTTATTCAGTAAATCGATCGCAGCTTCCGGTGAGATTTAATCATTTTTATTACGTCTCTCGCACCTGCCTCCCAATGGATTTCCTCTTTAATTGCACGAGAGAGGTTATATCTGCCGCGTTGGCGCCATGACAGAAATTTGAACGACGCGATTGTCGCCTGAGAACGTGAGGGAGGACGGTGTAAAAGTGGAAAATAAAATTGCGAGAATTCCTCGTTACGTAAGTGACGTGGCCACTATTGAATTAATTTAATTTCGAGACATCGCCATCACCAACGGCTCTGGAGGATATTTTAATTCGATTGACATTTCGGCGTCTCGTCTGCGGGAAAAATTCTAAACACCACACGCTAAACCCACTAGCCATTCTCGTCCGTCTATGCCTATATACATTACGCAACATAACCTACGGGAACTCGCAGTCTTCACCCCTCGAAAATTCTATTAGTCCTTCCTACATATAATATTATGCGCACCGCGTACGGATATTAGTGATATGCAAATGAAAACGACGTTAAATTTACGTACAATGATATTAACAATTATTACGAAATCAGTTACGTCACTCTCAGTAAAAAATGTCTCAGTGAGTTCGTTAACTAGTAATTATTTTTTCATGAATTCAAACTCACCCCAAAAATCAAAGTTAAGGATAACGACCCAACGTACAATGGTTTCCATGATTTTTTTCTAATTAAAAAAAAATCCTTATTCACGCAGCAAAAATGTATTTCCCACAACCTAGTTATCCCTACGATCCACTTCCAATGAGCACAATCAATCGAACGATATCTATAGATATGAATAATGTAACTGAGTTAATACCATTTGATTGGAATTATTAATTAATCGCTACAGCAGCTATACACGGCTCGGCGCGTCTATTGAAAATACGTATTGTCCAACGTCCAAAATGACCACCACTCAATGGAACACGAGCACAATGGTCCTCGATCTACTTAAACGTTTGATACGTGAAAAATAATCGCTTGTACATTTATTATTTCGCGACTGGCTCTATTCCCAGAGATATCGTTAACGCACGTCGCTCCTCCCGGCCGATTTCCCGTTGCCATTAGTTTTCGAATTGGTAACATTTGTCGGTGATTGGAAGAATTTACGAGGACTCTTTCTCACCATACACAAACCCCCCGTAACTGTACTCCCTCTTTCGCTTTGGCCATTCTTCACCGGCGCAGCGACGTCTCGCTATCCATAAATCACTTTTTCGACTCCTCAGGATTTAATATTGCGTCAGTATTCTCACCAGGGAATACGTCGAAGATAGCGGCCAGATCCAATTCCTGAGAAACATTCGATCTCTCGTATATAGTACCTCGTGATTTACTGTATGTGAATTACACATAGTGTTATATAGTATATATATATATATTATACGGTTATCAATCACAATTGATCCTAGATACGACTCCTCTGTCTGGATATAGTCGAAACTATATCACTTAGCTATAGTTATGCTCAAGGAGAAATGAAACTTTTCCACTTTAAACTACAATCAACTATTTTCTATGTCCTCGAAGTTAACCTGTACGTGGTATAGAGTATGTATAGTTTACTGCTAGTAACTCCTCGTGAAAAGTTCCTGGGGCCTTACGGACGGGATTTGTCCTGTTGAACCGCTGGGACTTGGACTCGTAGGCCATCCGTCAGGTCCCAGTGGCGTCGGGACGATAAATTCAACTTGGTAAAATTAGTTTCCGCCACCGAAAACGTTACTGTCCCATGTATCGCCTGTATAAGCCCAAATGAACACTTTACATTGTCATTACACGTCAATCGCCCGAGGAACGTTTTTCGCTCTTTGCATGATTAGACGAAATTCATGTGATTCTTATACGAATTAATTATGGAACTTTCTTAATCGCTATTACAAACTCGTGAAAATTCACTTAAATATCAATTTACGTGGGATTGTCGGTTGCATGAAAATCATAGTCATTGTATAATGACTGTCTGAAATTTATGCGCACTCCGGGTACATCTATTAGCGGCAGATACCAAAATTATAATCACTCGAAATTTACGTACTCCCCGTCAACAGCGTAGGTTAAATCCGCATGAATTTTAAAACTCATAAATAATCGTTGCGAACGGTGCTTAATTATTACGATTAACTTAGTATACAAATTACATTACTTTCATATAGTTTTATTCGTTATATACCCAATTTCACTTACTGCCACCAATATACATACATATATAGACACTGGGTTTGGTAAAACGTAGAAAAAAAAAAAAATTGCCAAGTTCCAAAGCTTTCCTCAATCGTTATACGCAAAGCGAATGTATATTTGAAAATACCGCCATGTAAAAGGTCGACGTCGGCAAACTTTTCTTGGTCTCGATATTGCAAGCAAACAAAAAAATAGAAAAATAACGATTTATGTATCGTCGCTGCGTTTTATAGATCGTTTTTCACTGGTTTACGTGCATATCTACCAGTAGGTATGCGCCATGTTGTTTTTTACTTTTTTCTTCGTTTACTTTTTTCTC